GAGAGAGAGAGAGAGAGAGAGAGAGAGAGAGAGAGAGAGAGAGAGAGAGAGTGTGTGTGTGTGTGTGTGTGTGTGTGTGTGTAAATCAAATTTGAAAATGAAATTATAGGTTTCAGGCTCTTCGCAACACTATAACTATAAGGTTATAATTTAACGTCGATCTTCAATAGGACTGAACCAAATAGGTAAATTCATATAAAACGTCTTTCCCTGGACACAACGTCAGATCGAGCTACCCCTTAAACCCCAGAAACGGCAATCTCAAGATTACGTGTCCAGTAGCCTTAACACTAGTGCCACTAGATAACTAACGCCACCTATCATAGTGCACGCCCGCGCTAGGGTCTGTGTGTGGGGGGGTGAGAGAGAGAGAGGGATAATGGTTTTTCTTTATTACACTTTTCAAAATGAGAAGTTGCGAAAACATTTTTTGCATTAAATAATGTAAGACTCAGCTCGAAAGAGTTACAAGAATAACAAATAATTTACTCTGTCTTCTCAGTTGACTCTGGCAGACATCGCCATCTTTGAAGGAACCACAACTGTTTCCCAGCTGAATCCAGACCTCTTCAAAAAGTATCCAGATTTGGTTGCTTTCCGAGAGAAGATTTCCAATGTTCCTGGAATCAAGGAGTATCTCGCATCCAACGAAAAGACCAGGATCTGAATAATACTCGATGAATCTTAGTTTTCGGTTTTCAACCATTCCTGTAATTTTCTCACTCTCTTCTAGTGTATTTGTAGAGATCCACAAGTATAATTTGCTGTAAAATAAAATAAGATGAAGTACATGTATTGTTCAAAAGGTGTCTTTTTCTTGATGTCCCTGTCAAACTTTGTACAGTACATGTATCAATGGCATTTCAAAAATGTCGTCTTTGGGTCTAGTACTGTACATGTAGCTTTTTCCATGGCTTTGTTTTTAGACACGTTAAGTACTCAAGTGAACCGTCAACATCTAACCCAAGTCATTGTTCACTGAGAGTAGAGTCACTGAGAGCATCCAAGCAGAGAAATGATAAACAGGCCGAAAATATATTTACTAGCTCCGTCCGCTTGGTATCTGCAAATTGAAAGCGGTTGAAAGGTGCAAAAACATATTTGGGGCTCTCGTGGCCTAGAGGTTAAGGTGTTGGCCTCTCATTCAAAGGTCCCGGGTTCGAATCCGGGTAGCGACCAAAAAATTTTCTTCTCTAAAATTGTCTCCTTTCACCTCCTTTCCTGCTCTCCAGCAATGCTCTGTCGTCTGCTTTCTGCCCCCACCCCCTCACCTCCTTTGCCCCCTCCTCTGGGCTCCTGACTCTTTCTGCAGCCTTTCTACTGCTACTCCTTGGCTCCTTGGCTCCTCCTCACTGCTGTCTTCCTGCCACACCCCTGATCTTCTGGTAGGAAAGATCTACACCTAGCTTTCTCGGACAAGGGCTAAAAATCCCGGAGGGCCCGTGGGCAAGTTGCGCACGTTAAAGAACCCTTGGTGGTCTAAAATCGATAAGAGTAGGCTTCGGCCGCCACCCGGGCAAAATTCAAAATTTCCTACCAACTGAAAATAGTAGGTGCGTCCCGCGCGCTCATATATGACGTTATGCAGTTGCGCCGTAAAACACTTTACAAAAACAAACAAACAAAAAAACAAAAAACATATTCCATATATTGCTCCCGCCATTCCATCGCCTTTTGGGATTGACCTCATTTGATACAATGGCGTTGTCTAGGAATAGCATTGCTGTTGTACGAAAAAAGATGGCGATACACGCGTGCTCACCATACTTGTAGTTTATTTATGGGAGGGGGTGGTGACAAATACGCTGAAAATCGTAAATGTGGTCGCATTGTGGTTTTCGAGAACGCTGAGCTCAAATCTAACCTTAAAATACGATTTGATTCAATTTTTGACATTTTAGATTTTGAGGTTTCATGTCCGGGCGAGAGCGATGACTTATTCCCTCTCTAGGATAGGCAGTCTTGACAGATAGAATGCTGCATACAACATTCAAACCCGACTGTCTCCAGACAACGTCTGCAAGCTGAACTTGGTATAATAGGACCATACGTCAAGGCTCTGTTTTATTTTTATCAATATCCTTGGCAATCGGCAATTTGTTCGTCAGTTTGTTGTCTTCAAACCGGGCTAGGGGGCTCTCGTGACCTAGAGGTTAAGGTGTACGCCTCTTAATACTCTCGTTCAGTGGGTCCCTGGTTCGAATCCAGATAGCGACGGAAAACTTTCTTCTCTATAATCTTCTCCTTTCACATCCTTTCCTACTCTCTAACAATGTTCTGTCGTCTACTTCAGTCTCCACTTTCTGCCTCCACCCCCTCACCTCTTTTGCCCCCTCCTTTGGGCCCCTGCCTCTTTCTGCAGATTTTCTACTACTACTCCTTGGCTCCTTCTCACTGGTGTCTTTCAGCCACTCCCCTGATCTTATAATAGGAAAGATCTACACCTTACCTTTTTCTGATAAGGGTGAACAATCTCGGGGGTCCAATGTGCAAGTAGCGCACGTTAAAGATCCCTTGGTGGTCCAGAATCGATAAGAGAGTAGGCTTCGGCCGCCGCCCGGGCAAAATTCAAATCATTTTACCTTCTGAATATGTTTAATGTGTCCCGCGCGCTCATATGACCTTATGCAGTTGCGAGCGCCGTAAAAACCCTTACCCCCCCCCCCCCCCCCTTTTCCCCCCAAAAAACCCGACTTAGTACGTACGTGTTATTTTGAGCCTAATTCATTGAAGTAAGACACACATTCGACAACGATTCAAGACCCGCTGTATTGGGGCACTTTTTAAAAAAAAGGGGGGGGGGGGGAGGGGAGAGAACTTCATCTCAACTTTGTTTTCTCTGTCTGGCATTAAAAAAAACATCATGCAAAGAAAAGTTCGTGTTTATGGTTTGTGTATGGCAGCTCGAAATGTGCCGCTACATTGACTATGATCTACTGCTGATCGGATATAATACAGGACTATATCATAATGTGACCGCTACGTCCTGAAAGAGTAAAACAGAAATGTCAATGCCTGATAACTCTAATACATGTATTGCTTTTGTGGTAACCATTCATTTTTAAATTTTAAGTTTGTAAGGCGATCCCCCAAGGAGTTTAGAACTAACTTTTAATCTCCTTGCGTTCCCCAAACCTTACTTGCAGCCTTAACAGGGCAACTCTTGATGAGTGAGTTGTCGCCCCCTTCCTACTGGCACCGAGCCTGTTAAGTACATGTATAACATAGTCTCCCCAAACTTCTCCAAAACTTTCTCGACACGTTGTAACTGTTGTGGCTTTGCCGTCCGTGTTCTGAAACCAGAATGGGCCGATCACGCCCCTGTAGCTGAACGCTTAATTAAAAGGAAGTAAAATTTTGCATTTTACCCGTTTTTCGTTGATTTTTAAAAATTTGTATTTCTTGAACATTATGATTTATTTTCTTCATATTTAGCTCTACAAACTTAGATATAACATCCTTATGGATGAATTTTATTTGTTCAAAGTTTTGTTGAAATTAGTGTAGAGATGACAGGTTTTTTATCTTTTAAGTGGGTCTTCTTATTTTAGACACCCTGTATTTGAGCATTTACACCTCCATCCGCCATCCTCCAACTGTATGAGTTGTACGGTCCTTATAAGATTAATGTAACTTTGCCCCGTTGTACCGCCAGCAAATTGGTACACACTACGCACAGCACACGGGGACTCACTTGATAGCTGCTTGATTATCTGTTTCCCAAAAATACGTCCCAGCAAGCCCGGCCTATTTGTACTAGCATTTGTCGCTGATCTGCTTCTGATTTGCGCTGATCATGAACATGCTATTATTTTTAGGTTTTGGCTAATATTTTGTTTACAAATTGGATATCAATATACAGTCGAACCTGCCATGACGACCACCTCTATAAGACGACCACCTGTACAAACGGCCACTTTCCATTTCCCCCCTTGCGTTTTTTCTATATAATTTAACTGTGTAAAACAGGCACCTGTCCAACGCGGCCGCGGCCACAAAAATTTAACACACAACCCCTATAATACTAAACAATAATACCTGTCTAAGACGGTCACCTTAGTGACTCCATTACGTTTTGTCATAAATTGTGCATTGGCCCCTGGCGTTGTGGGCGAGCAGTCATAATTCAATCACCTGTCGTTGTTGTTAGGTAGTCCCTCCAACCGATCATGTTGCGTAGGCCCCTCCCACTGTTGACCAATAGCTACCAATTTTCAGCTGCAGGTGAGTTAGCGTGTGATCCCTCATAACCCATAAGCCCCGCCCAGAACTCAAACACAAATCGTAAATGAGATGAGTGGTTACTGTTTACCCAGTCTGTAACAAAGTAACAAAGGACGTCAACATGAACTTGTTACAGAAGCGTCCCTCGTTCTCCGAGTGGTGGCGACCCATGTGTTTGTTTTAACATGGCACTCGGTCTTCCTTGTCTGATACATTTCGTTTTATTGTCACCATTGTGCAAAATCAGCGACAAAATAAAAATTACAAACCAGCAGCAACAACACCAACAAAGACAATTACAATGGGGCTACTTTCGATTGGGGCCTCTGATGGGAATGGTTTGTTTTCTTTATCTTGATCAGTCCTGCCTAAGACGGCCACCTGTCTTATGTGGCCACTTTTCTCCTTGACAATGGGTGGCCGTCTTACACAGGTTTGACTCTATATATATATATATATATATATATATATATATATATATATATATATATATATATATATATATATATAATCTATATATATATATAATTCTTTTTTTAATTTTAGACTGAAAGCAAAAAATAAAAAAGCCAAAAAAAACGGGAAAAACAAAGAAAAACAAAACAAATCACTCAGTTTCTCCACCATGTTGCCAGTGTCCTCTACCAGCATGCTGGAGACTCCCAAACTTTTCAAACTCGCCTGGGAGTCATACACACACATACACACACACACACACACACACACACACACACACACACACACACACACACACACACACACACACACAGAGAGAGAGAGAGAGAGACAGACAGACAGACAGAGAGAGAGAGAGAGAGAGAGAGAGAGAGAGAGAGAGAGAGAGAGAGAGAGAGAGAGAGAGAGAGAGAGAGACTACATGTATTTTCATTCAGACGTAGGCACAGAACAACTATAATTTAAAAATAACGCTAAAAGCTTATGAAGGATAGACCTGTAGGAACAGAAAATGCTTAAGAAGCTATGAAGTGTTCTTTTTTGTCTTAGTTCCATGGGTAATCTGTTCCACATAAATGGACCAAGATGTGAGAAAGATCTCTCTCCATATGATTCGTATGATTTTACGAGTGTCACAAAGTAGGGTGTTATCGTTTGATGATCTTAGGATTCTCTCTGGCTTATAATTATATACTGATAAATAATTCCTGCAGATAAAAAAGAGCAGTTTTATTTACCCATTTGAAACACATGACACTGACACAGATCAGAGAGTTTACAGATTTTAAATATTATTCTTTCTTTTGCAGGGAGCCAGTGCAGTTTTTTTAATAGTGGAGTGACATGGTTTCGTTTTTAAGATCTTGTTATCAATCAGTCTAGCGGCATTAGTTTGAATGACTTGTAAACGATTCAAATACTTGTTGTTCAGACCTGCTAGGAATGAGTTACAATAGTCTAATCTTGATAGGATAAGAGATGTTACCAATGTTTTTGTGGTCTCTTCGTTTAAGTACTTACGATCTAGGCCTTTCCTTCTCAGCTGAAAATAAAGGGCTTTCGATAGAGATTCTATAAACAAACCCATTGATAAGTGATAGTCAATATGTACACCGAGATTCTTGACAACTTCTTTACTAGATGGCATATGCCCATATAAGTCAATGTTGACACTTTCCAGATATTTATTTAATCGTTGATTATTTATAAGATTGGTGCCTGTCCTTTCTTCGTTTAGCTTCAATTTGTTTGCTGTCATCCACATTTTAATTTCATAAAAACATTTTTTTGTGATAGAAATCCTGTTTGGCAGATCTATTTTGATTGGTGCCATTAACATACATTTGGGAATCATCGTCATACAAATGACACGTCAGCTCAAAGCATTAATAAGGCGCACCTGTGACCTGGTGGGTTTGTTTAATATTTTCTCGTCTGACAAGCGTTCGCGCTTTGTGCAATAGATCATGACCCGTTTCACACCTAGATCTATAACATAATGGGGCAAGGATAAAACTGTAAGCAGTTTATAATCCGCATTAGTTTGAAATCTACAACATTAAAATTTTTTAAAGCAAAAGTAGCCACCCCGGGTAGATTCTAGTATCTACTTCGTGGTGTTTCGTTCTATAATTTCATATCAAAAGGCGGCTTCTTGTTACCCTTTCTCTGCGAATGAACAGCATTTACAGAATTTAGGCCTACTTTAACTATTCAAAAGGTGCACGGCAAAGGTACGAGGAATGTTCTGTCTCGAGTTTCGAGTGTCTCAGTCGGCTCTGTTGTACCCATAGTTGCACCAGAGAGTTTTACAGTTAGTTGAGTTAACCTTACACTTACACTTACAGTTACCCTCTCTGGTTGTACCGCGAAGAAGTTGGACTCGCCCGGTCGGCCAGCAAATAATCGCGCTTCACTGTTCGCTGGCTCGGGATATAAATAGCGGAACCCTTTGACATTCTCCTTCTCTGCTGAGTTTTGTGGTGAGTATTCTTGATTGGCATTAATTTTACTTATTTTTTAAATTCAGGTCTCGTTGGTTACTTAGTGTTAGCGTTCGTGGGTGCTTGTACACTTGTGTGTATGTGTGTGTGTGTGTGTGTGTGTGTGTGTGTGTGTGTGTGTGTGAGAGAGGGGGGGGGCGTTTGCCTAAGCACACTAACTTTACGCATGGTTACTGAGGAAGAGAGAAAAGGGATACGGGGGGAGTAAGGGCTGGAGTTTGGGAAAAATTATTAAATTATTAGTAGATCTACATGTGTGTCGTGTCGTGTGTATGAATTGGAGGCATATTATGTCGTCTCTATGTGCATATGCGTGTCTCGCGCCCACTTGTTATTTTTTGCCGACTCCAGGCAAAGCTTTGTATTATGCAAATTAGGCCTAGATCTAGATATTTTACTTGCACCACGCAAAGTTTATCAAGCAACATGATTTTCGTAGCCTACGTGCAGGATCTTTGGTGCTTTTTCCGTAGTTCCCAACCCCCTTATTTGAGCCTGACCTACATCTAGATCTAGATCTATACGTTTGATTCGCGGTGAGCTAAGATATCAAACCTAACAACTGCAAAATATTAAATTATGGTAAAATTCAGGGGGGCATGCCCCCCTGAAACCCCCCTTCCTATTTTTATTAGGTCAGGGGGGCAAGCCCCCCTGAAACTCCCCTACTCTTGTGGCCCAAACCCGTTAATAAAATTGCGGGGTGGGAACTACCGAAAAAGCGCCGGATCTTTTGCCTTGCGTGGAATCTGCTGCCGCTCCTCGATTCTCCCAAGAAAACGGATAATTTTGAACCGTAAGTGTGTAATTTTGGTCCCAATTTCATTTAATAGTTGCTTGAATTAATTGTTTTACAGTAGATCCCATACATTTGAGCCGTTCTTAAAAGCAATTGAGGCTTCATGGACTAGATTTTGACCTACATGTCGTGTATCTAGATCTATGATCTAGGTCAGCTGTGTAGGCAGGATGCTGTGTTTGGCGACAAAGTTCTACATTGTGACCTAGGATCACAGAATTGTTACACTTAGTGTAGAATTCTGTGCCTAGGATAAAACATGAAACGCCTTTGACCTACGCCAGTAGCCTTGTGATAGGAGAGAGAGAGAGAGAGAGAGAGAGAGAGAGAGAGAGAGAGAGAGAGAGAGAGAGAGAGAGAGAGTACTAGGCCTATCCCACACACACAAAATAGCGAAGACTCGCGATTTTGCCTGTCTCGGCAAATAAATGGGCGTACATCATTTTTCTTGCCCCGTCATTCGGGCGATAACATCACGAAAACGCATCACCTGGGACATGCTAAAAATTATAGTGGACGTACCACCTAAAGCTTACCGGTGCGTTAACCTTTAATTGTTTTGTTGTTGTTGCTGCAGCAGCAGCTAGGGAACCTACAATATGTCAATACCTTTTACTTCAAACAAAAGATCTCCAACACCTACTGTAGGTACTGTTTTGTTAGAACAGTGGACGCGGCGGCGTATGGGTACGGTTCCCACTTGTCTGATCCAGAAAATGCTCTTGTTTGTTATTTTCCTTTTGCCTTTGCCCTGACAAGTAGCTGTCGCTGGTGTGGATGTTAACTATCCAAGGTCACACTGCATAAAAAATCGATCAATATCTCAAGCAGGTCAAAAACTATACTATCGCGACTGACGGGCCCGGCTATGACTTGTTGATGTATTTGGTACTTTTCCGTTTACGTTTAGGTTTTTAATTTGTGTTTGTTCGCCTCGTCAGGGTTAGATCACACTCTGGGGCATGAGTTAATTTGGAAAGACAGGGGGTGAGGGGAGAAAGAGAGAGAGAGAGAGACAGAGAGAGAGGGGGAGAGACAGAGAAAGAGACAGCGAGAGAGAGAGAGAGAGAGAGAGAGATTTACGTTCATGCAGCTTTTGAACTGTTAAGTCATTGCAGACTTTGATAGGCTACTTTCACTCCAGCACCCAGATGCACTGTTTCGGGGGGTCAAAGTGCAGTCCTAGGCCCTCTATTGTTTGCTGCAGATCGCACATAAAACCACCAGAACTGTCGCAAACCAAAGTATTTTCAAGAAAATTGCAAACCAAACTGCAAAATATA